CGCGTCCTTCCTCAGGAACGTATGGCTGAACAAAGTAAGCCTTTGTCACCACGGTTTATTGTCGGATTATATTAAGTAGTCGACTTATCTTTTCTTCTGTGCGAACTGAATTCTCTCCGAGTTTTGACATGGAGGTTTTTTTTTGATACCGAAGTGTGGAACACCCGAGGCTCGAACTCGAGACCTGCCGGAAGTCCAATGCCTCTAACCACTGGGCCATGGGCCCGTTGTCCTGTCGGTTGCGATCGGGAATACACAATCGTAGAGGGGTGCTCATCGATCTTTTCTACGGAACTCACACCTCCCGTTGTGCCTTAGGGCCCTCTCTCGTGCCCAACCAGCAGCTGCACAGCGGCGTATGGTACAGGCAGAATGTTATTACGAAGAGCCCCTAGTGTTCCACACTTTGTGGTGGGGTATGACTGGTTGACGACGGCTAAGGCAGAAATAGCCATTGCAGTCTCCCCTGTCTTTGCCGGTAATAACATTCTGCTTATATATACATATATATCTGGAAGAGGGAGGTAAGGCGATCTCTGGGGAAGGTTTATTCATCTGACGTTTCGTACTCGTACTCGGGCACATCATCGGAGATAGACCAAGTGAGAAATACACGGTTTAAATAGGCCATCCGCACTCGCACCTGATAGGTTCGTCCCTTTCTCGTCCGATTAACCATCCTATCGCACGCAAATGGTGCCTGACGGCCTCGTATGGCGCTGATAAGTCGATACTGCGGTTGATCGAGTTGGCGTCTCATTTCCAGGCCTCGATTAGTTCCCTCACCAGTTTGCTTTCGGCCCGGCCGAGCACTTGGGCGCCGTCAAAGTCGAACTTATGATTATTTTCCAGACTGTGCATGGCGACATGCGATCGTACATCCTTTTGCCTTACGGCCAAAGTGTGCTCATGCATGCGCGTTCTTAGGCGTTTGTCGGTCATGCCACAGTAGTTGGCTGGACAGTCCAGACATTTGACGCGATAGATGACGCCTGACGTGTCTGCAGGTGGTAGCCGGTCCTTGGGCTGCATGATTAAGCGGTGGATGGCGGCCTCCGGTCGGTGACCAAAGCCCACGCCTAGCGGCCTTAGCATGCGCTCAGTGGCTTCGGAGACGTTACTCACGTAGGGCAAGACACGGAAGATTTCTGGTCTTTGTTTCTTCTCACCGTCCGTCTTCGTGTGCCTTCGGTACAAGCATTTGTTCACAAAACTGCGTGGATATCCATTGGCAAGAAAGGGGCGCCATAGGGTTTTACGCTCCCGCAGCTTCTCGGCTTCTGTGCTGCAGTGTGTGTAGATGCGGCGAAAAAGGGTCCGGACACAACTGCGCTTATGCGACAGGGCATGGTTGCTGTTGTAATGAAGAATTTTCTCCGTGTCTGTCGCCTTTCGAAAGACACCAGTCTGGAGGGTTCCGTCTTCCTGCCTCGATACCTGGACGTCGAGGAAAGGGAGCACTCCGTTATTTTCTTCCTCCATGGTAAATTGGATTTGTGGAAAAACCGAGTCTAATTCTCTTCTTAAGTTGTCTTTCGCGTCTCGGTGTAGGATGACGAAGGTGTCGTCTACGTAGCGCATCCAGAATTTCGGCTTGTATGTCTGGAAGACCCGCGTTTCCAGTTCCTGCAAGACCGCCTCAGCCAGGTAGCCGGAGATTGGGGACCCCATTGGGGCTCCTTGGATTTGCTCGTAAATTTGGCCGTTAAACGTGAAGTACGTGCGTAAACAGTAGTTCAGTACCTCCAGTTCGTGCCTCCACTTAAAAGGTTTTCCTTCTTCGTCGTACCTTCTCTTCAGTAGGTCATCGACAACTCTCATGGCCAATTCTTTAGGGATGAAGGTGAATAGAGAGATGACGTCAAAAGATGCCATTATTTCGCCGGCGGCTCTTATGACTCCTTTGAGCCTTTCCAGACAGTGTGTTGAAGATACGGCTGTGTTCTGAACTGTCCGTTAGCTTTTTCAAATGCATGGCATATCCATAAAGCCAGTCCGTGTGTGGGCGTGTGGAGGCGAGATGAGAGCCAATCAGAAGAGAGCGGGACGAACCCATCAGGCGCTATTGCGGATGGCCTATTTAGACCGTGTATTTCTCTATTGGTCTATCTCTGATGATGTGCTCGAGTACGAGTACGAAACGTCAGATTAATAAGCCTTTTTCCCCAGAGATCGCCTTACTTTCCTCTTTCATATTAACACCTGGAGTCAGCATTTTCGCCTATGCCCGTGAGACTTCCGGGCGCAAAGCGCTTCACCGAGCACGGCACTGGGTGCTATTTTCCTGTAGACAGGGATCTATATGGGAACAATTGGCCTTTCCGCACAACTGCCTGAAATCAGACATTATGCAGAGGAGCGTTTCTGTAAGACCACCAGCTAGGGCTGATTTCGTTCGTGAGGTCGCCAGAAGTTGCAGCCGACGCCTACTAAGAACCCTCATCGACGAATGTCACGTTCGTCTGCAAAAATACGGCAAGTAAATCGAAATGACCGAAGCGGCATGTGCAGCATACCTGGAGGAGCAAACAATTCGAAACCTGGAGTGCTGGGTTTTTATTAAGGTGAACGCGGTGCGAAATAAGAAGAAGACCCAACTCCTCAACAAAATGTGTAGTTTAAGTCAAGCACAATCACGGGTGTCAGGACAGTAATTCGTCCACAACCTATCATCCAAACAGCCGACAGACGACCAAGTTAAAGGACTTCAACGTGAACCCGGTTACAACACAGGAGACGCACAGTCAGTGGACTTCATCGCTGCCCTAGAAGCGACGCTCTCAAAGACTGATAACACGGAAGACTCAAAGAAAGCGAGTCGCCAGCGAATCGCGTCCCTCATCATATCACACAGCTCACGCCGAACCATCCCCTCGACCGAGGTAAAGGCCATTAGGGAACTAATGAAATTGTCATTGTTCTAGCGGACAAAGGGTAGACAACCGTAGTGCTAGACAAGTCGGAGTACGTTTCAAAAGCGCAGCAGCTACTAAACGACAACCAGTCGTATAAAGTCATAGACTCCGATCCCATGAAAGCACTAGTAAGCAAAATCAGCACGAGCCTAAACCAGATGGGGAACCAAAACGCACTATCCGAAAAGGATTGCAGACAGATGAAATCATAACATGCTGCCTTAGCGCGCTTTTATGGTTTGCCAAAAATCCACAAGCCAAATGTTCCCCTACGGCCCATTGTGGCGCTGAAAGGCACCCTGCGGTCGTCCGGACACCAAAAGAAGTAAAGTGACGCTCTCCCAAACGCGAAAAATCCAGCCGAGCTAGTTGAAAGGCAGTTCAGACACCAAATACATGTACATTAGACGGTAACTACCTTACGTACACGACCAGTACACCCTAAGAACAGGGTTAGCTATCTCGCTAGAACACGTGTCGTATAAAAAGATCCCATGTGTTAGTTGAGATGCCGTCTATTATAGCCTAACTGCAAAATCTGGCACAACCCGTATGCACGAACATCAGGTAGCGGCAAGCAGACGAGACAACCTATCTTAGGTGGCCATACGCACCCCGGACAATGGGCGCAAGTTTGTGTGGAAGAGCACTCGCTTGTTAGCGCCTGCCCAACAAGGAAGGGCTGTGAATTCCTGGAGGCGATGCACTCAGATAAGGCGTGCGTCAGTCTGCATATTTACTAGGTCGCCACATGCATAATCCTCAACAAAACTTCATACAAGCACAGCCAATTCAGAGAAGATGACGAGATGCAATGAACACGAATTGAAGCATACTCGGCCAACCGCATACTTCTGTTAGATATGGTTGACAAGTTAAGCATTTTGTGCATCCTCTATAGTCTCGAGACGGACTGGAGGAGCAGCCTCGAAAAATTACGAAAATTATATTTTTCCCAAAAAATTTCACTAATATGGACATATACATCGGCTTTTGGCGTTAAACACGTTCTTTAGGAATAAATAGAGAACTTTATTAGGTACATCTTCGACGCCGGTTCCCCAGGTTGTCGTCAGACTTGAACAGATGTGCAAAAAACAATGCTTCAAACGTACTGTAAAATCAATATTCATTTGGTGTTTGGTCTATAAGCGGTCGTCATGTGCGTCATTCTGTATTCATTGGCTCTCTTCCACTTTCTCTTGAGATTTCTGTACATGACATCTAAGTCAGCGTACCGATTGATACATGATTTACCGGAGTGCATGGCTTCAAGAAACTCTCGGATTATTTTGGAGGGACAAACTCCAACGATGCGAGTTTTGTCTCAATAGAAAGGTGTGCCGAGTGTCAAGGGTAGGTATGGCCATTTGAGGCAGGTGGTCTCGCCTCTTAACTGTCAGTTGATGTTAACGGATGCGTGTAGAGACAGACTTTCCTGTTTGGCCACGATGTACGGCATCACACGCATCGCTTGGGATCTAGTAGACGACTTCCTTCTTACCGAAGTAGCCAACCCTTTGTGTCTCTGATGATGGGTTCAAGCAGGAATCCGAAACGCCAGGCTAATAAAGCTCTTGTCCCAGCGATAGTGTCTCCTTCAAAAGTAGCCAACCCTATCCTTAGCGTGTACAAACTGACTGCATAAAGTTGTCGTCGGCTTGTGCTATGGGCACACCTTCGCATGAGACAAAACTCACATCGTCGGAGTTTCCCCCTCCAAAAAAATCCGACAGTTTCTTGAAGCCATGCTCTCCGGTGACTCATGCATCAATCATCCTCATGACATGTCAACCTCAATTATGAAATTCGCTTTCGATTAGGAATGATTATTTAAGTACATTTTTAGCATTAATTAACTTCCGGTGTAACCCTGTGATATTTTGCCTACATCAGGTCGTTGATTTTTTAATGCACTTCTTTTTGTCGCCGACACAAACCGCACTGGAAAAAAGTGACCGCTTAAATGGTAAGCACTTTTTCAATCTCTTCTTGATGCTCTTATGAATTCAAAAATAGTTTGCAGAAAACATACACAAAATATTATTTCTTGTGCTCATTTGGTAGCGAATCACGTCTCCTTCGATGTTTATACTAAAAGCAAGGGTATCCTTTCTAAAAACGTTTTTTAATATCCGAATAATTTTACACTCGATCTGCCGTTTCACATCCTTTTAGAGTCTTCAGGCTGTAAGAAAAAGCATACATTCCGCTATGCCATTGATCAAATACCATATGGGGCCCATACTATGTTTCGACAAATGGAGACTATGTTGTATGCTTAATGAAGGAACCTTGTTAAACAGACAGATACAATACTATTTCGATGGGCATTACATGTTCTTAAAAATCTCATAATTAGAAACATTTTACGATCGAAAGATACCCTTTCTAGCATATAATTTGAAAAACACGTAATTTGCTACCAAATGAATACAAGAACTAATATTTTTGCATGTTCTCTGCAAAATATTTTTAAATTATTAAGGGCATCAAGAATCGATTTCCGAGTTCGGTTTATGCCAGTAACCGGAAGCAAGTGCATTCAGAAGCTCAAATCCTGACGTGTCTGAAATGTCATGGGCTTATGCCACGACATAATATTATAACCCCACTGAAGCAATCCTTCCTGATCGAAAGCACCTATGGGAATTTCGGTTGCCATTTCATGAGATCGGTCACTGATTAAACTGGAATTATTGCGTCAAGATTTGTATGTAGTAGATCCAACTGATTTTTCTCGATGTCAAACGTGTAATTTAATTGGCACAACCAAAGCTTTGATGGATCTGTTTCGAACTTGTTTGCCTTCATTCAGGCAATCATAATACTAACCACCAGCTGGGACCGGAAGCACAAAAATGCGCTCACACACTTGGCGCAGCTATCTACCACTAGGGTCCACCGGATGAGTCGTAAGCACTTCATCGAACCGAAGCTCATCAGTATCTCGCCACCTGTTATTCTCTGTCGTTGCAGATCAGTTATTTATTCGCTCAGAAATGGGCGCACACCAGTCCATTTTTCTTCCCAATGCATACGTAATTATCGTTCCCCCATTGACCGGGGGTTGGTTAAGGTTGGCTTGCGATGGCACATAATTCAAGAATGGCAATCCCGTTCTCACTTGTCTTTTGCCGGCACTCCATTTATGTGTCTACTCCCTCCCCCGCTTATTTTCACCTTTTTTCGCTTAGTTTCCAAAAACATTGGACGTTTAAATGCGAACGTCCCGAACGACTTGGAGTCGGTCGCCTACCCCTCTATTCATCATTGGGCAGCTACAGTCGCTGCGTCGACTTACGCGGCCAGCATTTACGCATCACCCCGAGGTAACGGTTTATTTTAGCAATATCTATTCATAAAATGCCTTTTGCAGTCACCCCCTCCCTAAGTCTCCTTCAATCTTCTGTTTGCTACCGATAGGCTTTAGAGTGTGGCCTACCTTTAGATTGCATATCAGTCATTTTCATTTGTAACAGGCATATTTGTTGACGTTTGAATTCTGTTTCGGCCACATTTCAAAATTTTAAAGGCTCTATTATCGACGATGAAGAACCGTTGCTTCAAACTAGAAAACCCACCGACTACGGATCGACGGAAGCGCCCTTTGATGTATGTTCCCTCATTTTGATTGGTATTCACAATTTGGTTTCTGCATTTATTTTTCCCCATCGCATGGTTGACCCAGAAGGCCGCCATACAGATCAAAATACTAGTTCTATTTACCAAGCAGTCGCATTTGGCTGTTTTTGT